GGAAGGTTTATTTAGCCTACAGTTAGTGGAGGTTTCAGTCCATAATCAGCTGTCTCCAAGGCAGAATAACACATGGAACAGAGCACCCAGGGAAAGAGCAAAAGACCAAATCAAGGGACAGCAGCTCTCTCAGCTAGCTGGCTTCTTTCCCCCCCTCATTACACTGTACACTTACCCACCTCAGGTCAGTGTGTAGCACTCACACATGTAATCCCAGCATTGGGTCAAGAATCAATCACAATCACAAACTCTTGAAGCAGCCCCATGACTGCATGAGGCTTTGAGGGGGTAACTAGACACAAACCATAACACCTATCTTAGATGATATAAGACTTTTGTTAAATATTGGTTTGTTTCGGTAGAGTAACAGGTATGAAGAAAAATAAGCTATGATTCTGGTTTGCCTGCATCTCATTTTTTTGATCCTCCAGATTTGGGGTTCAGGGTTTTTTCTACTTGGTTTCTGCCGTACTGCCTAGATCTCTAGAGAATGATACAAATTGTAAGTCTGAAAAATTTCCCTGTTCGATCTATGTTGTTAACTGTATAGCAGTTTTCTAAAACTTAGAGTATAAATCTAATCTTTCCTGGCATCAGTGTTAATGGTATTTTCTGTCCTCCTTTAATAATTTTGTTTCATCTATTCTCTTTGGGGCTTTAAAATCTATACTCATGTAACTTTCCCACCTGGATGCTTTTGCTCTGTCTTTGGCTTCATTAGTTGTGTTTTCTGCTTTATTGACAGCCTTCATTCGAGTTTGAGATGCAGATTTGTTTTCTTTTTCTGGGTAATGAAAAATCTTTGCTGATCTCACATAGTTCTTTTCATGCCCACCCACCCTACATTTAAAGATGCTACTCTATGTTCTCAACAGTTTTAAGAACATGAGCTAGAAATTTTCCTCAAGTTTTCTCTTTTAAGTCATGTACTTGTTTCTTAAGTAAATATTAGCTCTGACTCTCAAGTCTTCTCTTATTTTGAAATATAATAATATATTTTATTGGCCTGGTAGATTTGGATTTTTCTCTCTTGTTTATTCTTGGAGATGGAATCTTTTGCATATTCAGTATCAGGTATTGCCCTGTGTTTTTTCAGGAAACTAGTATGAGTCACTAGTTGACCGAAGTCCAGAAGAATGAGACAGGAAAGAGGCTGAGTTTATAGTAGATTCATTTACCAATTAGGAATTCATCTTTCTGTGAGGCCTGGGGAGAGAGCCAACAACTACTCCAGAGGTAATCAAATGGAAGTTTGCTTCAAATCAGACTTTCTTTTAGGTATTTGGTGTGGCTCTCAGTAATTAGCAGAGTTATTGTCACTTGGCCCAGCCTCCATCCTCAGAAGCCAGCTAGTAGCTTTTCTTTTCTTTTAGGTTTGCTAAAGCTTTATTCATGGCCATATGTAGAGCAGGAGTAAATGTAGCCAGAGATGACTTACGTGGTTTGATTCTGGAGCCAGAAGCCCCTTAAAAGAGTTAGTGTATTTTAAAGGTACCCAGCTTTCCCCTGGCTTAGTTCCCTTCACCATCATTCCTTGGAAATGCAGGCATCACTCCATGCCTGCTGCTTTCCCATTGAATTGTTTTCTTTACATTCAGTTGCAGTGTCTCTGGAAGAGAGCTTTGTGCTTTAGTCTCTCTCTTTTTTGACCTTCTATCTTAATTGATTTCCCAGTACAATTTCTGGAAATTTTAGCAACTATGGGATCACTTTGTAGTTTCTGGAACTGATTTGGGGTATTTTCTGTGTTTAAACCCTATTCATCATTTCTCCAGTAACCTGGGAAAGAGGAATGAACTTATATAGCTTTCTTCTTTGGAAATTGTATCTTTTCTGAAAAATTGTACTCTTCTCATGGTTCTGAGATTTGAACCCAGAACTTCCACAAGTGGGGCAAATGGTCTGCCCCTGCCCAACATTCCCAGCTCCTCTACAAGTGTAATTTTAATTGCCTCTCATCCATGTCACTTGTACATTTTTCTGTTCTTTTAATGATAGTCTATATATAATTTTATTTATTTATTTTCACTGTATGTATTTGGTACAGGGTCTCACTATGCAGGTCAGACTCATAATGATCTTCCTGTCTTCAGCCTCCTCAGCACTGGGATTTCAGGTGCATGCCATTGCTCCTGGACTCGGTCACTGGCTCACTGTGTCTCAGTGGCGGGGCCAATGCAGCACGCAGGACCAGGAATTGAAGCCTGGTCCCTGCATGTGCCACACCAGGCACTTAGGTTGCTAAGCTTTCTCGCTGGCCTTATAATTTTAGACTATACTTTTCGTACTAGTTTTATATCATTCCTTATTTTCATTACCTTTTAAAAATGTATTTGGCACAGGTTCTCACTATAGAGCTTGGAGTCGTAGTGATCTTTCTGTTTTCAGCTTCCCCAGCATTAGGATTATAAGCTTGTACTACCATGCCCAGGCTCGGTGGCCAACTCAGTGTGCCCAAGGGGTTGGGTGGGGGAGCTGTGGGGGAGAGCATAGCATGTGGTGCCCAAGTTGGAACCCCAGCCCCCGTGCTTGCCTAAGCAAGCACTTAGTCAAATGAGCTATTTCACCCGCCTCATGACCTTTTCTTTTACTACTTTTTTTGTTTTTTCCTTTCCTTCATGCCAGTTGTTTCTTCCCTTTAAACAAATTCTTTCTCTTTTGCAGTATCTATTGTACCTCTCAGCTTTTATTTATTCTTTCAGGTTCTTATACCAGCAAGATAATATGTTTACACATATGGGTCTGATTCATTTCACTTAAGAGTATGGTTTCTAGTTGTACCCATTTAACTCTAAAAACCTTTAGCTTATCATTTTTATAGCTGAGTAATGCTCCATTGTGTAAAAATACCACATCTTCTTTATCCATTTCTCAGTTGATGTGCATTGGGGTTGTTTCCAAGATTTAGCTATGACAAACTGTGTTGCTATAAATGTGTGTGCACATATATCACTGTGGTATCCTGTTTTCAGTTCATCTGAAAAAATACCCAGGAGGGGGATAGCTGGGTTGAATGGGACTTCTAATCCTAGTTTTTGAGGAATCTCCATACTGATTTCCACAGTGACTGTACCAGTCTGCACTCCTACCAACAATGGAGAAGGGTTCTTTTCCCCCCACAGTCCTTCTAGCATTTGTTATTGGTTGACTTCTTGATGATAGTCATTCTTTCTGGAGTGAGATGGAATCTCAATGTTTTTTAAAATTTCATATATATAACATGAGAGGTGCTATTTCAGTCATTTTTAAGGATGCATTTCAGCATTGCTAACTACACTCCCAGTGTTGTGCAGCTGTTACCAGTATCCATGTGCAGAACTTTTTCACCAGACCAAACTGCACCTCTACAATTTGGAAACACTGATACCCCATTGCTTCCTCCTCCCATCCCCCAGTAGCCTCCTTTTTACTTTCTAGTTTTATGAATTTTTGTATCTGTATTTTCTATACATGATTTGAATTATAGGGGGAGAGAATGAGGTAATTCAGCTTCGTGATCTTAGGGGAATTTGTGAATGGCTCAGTGAATCAGTCGATGAAAAACTCATGCCTATGAAAAGCCTGAGAGGTACTTTTATGGTTTGGGAAGATGCTGTAGATAACAAGAGATGCTGAGGAGAATGAAAAGGGGAAGGAACACTAATCATAACCCAAAGGCAGCTGGAGAACCTAATGGCAGTGGGATAAACCCATACTGATTTGATTTTCTATGGCTAGAACAACTTCAGAATTCTGTTAAAGGAATTGTAGAGTCAGGTTGATGGCAACTGGAAAGAATGACAGGAAAGATGTCAAGTACTTGGAAGTGTTCATGGGAGTGCGTCTGTCTTTCAGAGTTCCTGGAAACACTGTAGCTGACTATCTGGGACTGCGGTAAAACAGAGGACTAGCATATCAAAGTAAACCAGTTTTTATTCTGCTAGAAAGCAAATGGGCTTCGTTACTTAGGGTATTGTCTTTCGTCATTTTGTCAAGCTATCTCATGATTTATGCAGTTTTTAAAAATAAGTTGAGAAGGAAATGGATTTCTTAGATGTAATTTTGAGACATCACTCCCAAGAATGCTGATTTATACCTTTAAATTAATGTGGTTTGCTCCTTGTTTTTGGCAAAATTTAGTCACCATATATTGTTCTATGAAAAATACTGGTAATATGTAAAGAAGTCTCAAATGTATATATCTAAAATAAATCTCAAATGTTCTATAGGAAAACAGTTTTATATCTTATCTGTCTTCCTCAAAATATAAAATTGGGAATCTATCTTCATTAGTTATCTGAAAGACATGAAACATGTATCAAAATAATAAGTACATTATTCAAGTTTTATATTGAATAAGCCAGCTCGGGGTTCTGTGTCACAGGGTCACTGTAGGCCATCTGAATTGCATGCTGCTTTCTTTAGAACTACCTGAAATTTTTTTCTTAAAAACATTGTTGTTTATATCTTTTTTCTTGGAGAAGTGAGACTGACCCCTGAAATCAGTCTTGGTTCGGGTCTCAGTTCTCTCTCATCTTGGTTGTGGATATCTTCTCTCATCTTCCAATTCTCAGGTGTCTCATGAAGTCTGCCTTAGACTGTCAAATGTAGATCATTCATTTTTTTTTCTTTTCTTATTATTTGATGACAAAGTGGCTTTTCTTCCTGTTCACCTTCCTTTTTTCCAACTTGACACTACCTCTCTAGAACATCTAGCTGGCACTCAGAGTTGAGGTGAAACCTACGAAAATCTACTCACCATCAATGGGGCAAAGGCTACAGAACTCATAACTTTTAGATGTTAGATCTTCTCTGTGGGTTCCTATTGTTAGTAAGCCAATATTTTGTACTTCATATAAAATGTCCTTGCTTCCTTCAGCCAAAGGGCCTTTACTCTTATATTCTGGTCCTTATGTACTGACTGTGGGTGTTTTTTTCCTTTTCCAGGTCCATATCTTCTTCTAGCATGACTGTGATTTGATCAGCAGCCACGAACATTGGCTCCTGTGTCTGGCCCTGTGGTGCTGGGGTCTGATCACTGCTCACAACGACAGAGCTGTCATGGCTGCTGCATCTACTGCGACCCCTGTCATCTCGCAGCCCCAGGTAAATGATTCAGCCAGCACAGGTTTGGGGGAATTGTAGTTTCGTCACATGCTTAAGTTGGATTTTAGAAAGCATGTTTTACTCTAAGGGTCATGTAAATCTCTCTTATTAGCATTTGGTGTGCATTCAGATAATCCCTCTCTCCAAGAGAGATATCATTTAGTTCTGGAAGCAGCTGAGACAATGAACAAGTGATTTTAGGGAACTGGCCTCTGTTCCCAAGGGACCTCAGTTTTGAGTACTTATGATACATCAAACTCCAAATCAAGACAAATGAACAGCAAATTCTGCGGCTTTCCCTTTCTTAGAGTGTGTGTGTGTGTGTGTGTGTGTGTGTGTGTGTGTGTGTTGTCTGAGGGTGTGTTTAATGAAATGTCTTGGAAAGGATCTAAGCTTATAAAAAGTTTTCCAATCATGCCTTATTGTCTTCCTCTTACACTTTTTGTTTTGCCTTGATCTTTGCTAATGACTTTGAAGCCAAAATGCAATTGTAGACACTTCTCAATAGTCATCTTAGAAGGAATGCTTTCTGTCTACTTAAGAGCAGTAATACTTCGGGGACATTGTATTTGCTCAGATTATTGTGCAACCTCCTGGGTATTCAGTGGTCTCTTTAGGTTCAGCAGGTTCAGTCATGCAATGGGGGAAACAGGCTCTGCAGTTTTTAGGCCCTGCACCTTGCAGTGCTTGATGAACAGCCTTACTCATGTTAGTTGGTCTCAGGTTTACTTTCTCCCCATGTAATTGTACCTCACACAACAGTTATATGACTCAGAAGCTATAGTTTCCCTCAAGCTCTTTCTTTACTTTTCTTCTTCTCTTTAGAGCATGCCATCTCATTTGTGGCAGTTATTTTAACTTAAGGTTAAAGAAGAAAGAAGGGGCTGTGTTGATTGAAATTTGAATCTTGATGAGACAGAACACTTTCTTGTTCTGTATCATTTTCCAAGTTATTACAATTTTTATGTATTTCAATTGAGGGTGTCTGTGTTTTTAAAAGACAGAGTGAGAAAAGAGAGGAATGAAGGGGGAAGGGGCATTTATTTTTATTTTTTAAAGAGAATAAAACATAGTAAATAAATCATTAGAAATAATACAGAATTTCAGTAAACAAAATAATAGTAATTCAGCAATGGTTGTTATACTGCATAATGTCTGCAAATTAGTTGTTTATATTATCAGATATAAGCATGCAAAATTGGAAAAAAAAGTTTTAAGAAATTAAAAAGGAGAAAAATTTAAGCACTAGCTGCTTCTTCTAATACACCAGCAGAGGTGTAAACTCTCCTGCTCCCCTCTAAAAGACTTTCATATTTTTATCCTTGCTGTGCTTCACTGTTGTTAGTATTATTTTCCAGAATGCTCAGAGTTACCATTGTCATCCTAGAAGTGTATTTCTATTTCTGGTAAACAGATCATTGCCCTCTATTTCCTCTTTTAAAAATACATGTATTTGGTACAGTGTCTACAGGTCTCACTACACAGATCGGGCTCTTGGTGATCCTCCTGTTTACAGTCTCCCAAGTGCTGGAATTGCAGGTGTGCACCACCACACCCAGTCTTAGTCACTGTCTCAGTGTGCCCCTGGGGCAGGTCTGGCACGGCATACCAGGGATTGAACCCTGGTCTCTGCGCCTGCCTAAGCAGTCACTTTAATCTGCTGAGCTATCTGGCTGGCCCTTCCTTTATTTACTTTTGGTGTGTGGTTTCCATTACCTTCAATAGTTTTTTTCTTTCCCTACATTTTTTGTTTCTTTTGGTTTCCGTAAGACTTGGAGAATAGGTAAAGAGAATTCAGTGCCCATTAGTCAAAGTGGCCATTTGCAAGTCCAGTGCAGCTGTTCCCAGGTGCTTCTTCTTAGGCTTGTATAAAGTGAGTTAGACCCCTGTATAGGATTTCTGGACAAGGCATTTTGCCATTCAGCAATACTGTCATTTGTTATATTTCTAAAACTATCACTTTTTGTGTACATTTTTCCTTACTATGGAAGCTACTATAGCTGGTGTATGATATAATACTTTCAAATGTTTGTTTAATTAAAATACCATCCTCATCATGTTTAGTGTGAATACTTGGGGAAAAGGGTACCTTTATACATTTCCGGTGGTGCAGCCACTTGGGCTTATGGTGATAATTTGATAATATCTATTAAAATCATGCACCTTAGCACATAGTCTCTTCCAATCTTGGTAGCTATATTAGAAAAAACACATAGGAGGACAAGGAAGAGTATATAAAATTATTTTCTGAAGCACCGCTTGAAGACAAAGAAGTACAAAATTTGCTGAATGTCTAATAGTGCGACAGTTTGGCAGTCAATTCAAGCATGTGGCTATGATTGAAATACCACATACCAGTTAAAAATGAGCCTACCATCACAGCTGTAGTATACCTTAAGCTATCTTATGGAGAGAAACAGAAGCAAGATGCAGGAGAATCCTTACAGGAGGATGTCATTACCCCTGAGAACCATGCCTGTGTGCCCCTTAGCGATAGACAAGTGGGAATACAGAGTGAGAGGCCCAGGTCATACATTTTCAATGGACAGCATAGCTCCCATTAGGTAGAGCTGGATCTTGAGAAATGAAAAATCCCTCCCAAAGTTTGGGCTTACCCAACAAAATGCCAGTATTTAATTTCTCTATTAGGGAGAATTTAAATTTAATTACCATTTTCTCCTTGAGGATCACTAACAGAAAAAAAAAAAGTCAACACACAGTTTCTTGAGGCAAGTGCATGGGCCCACTAGTCACACTACCCAAGCCAAGTCCTGGATGAGCTGAGAGAAGAGTGGTAACACTCCTAGTGCCTTGATTTCCTCATGTGCACAATGGACAAAGCAATAATGCAGCCAGTCTCAGGTTGTTTTCAGGATAACATGAGAAAACATGTAAGCTGGGGAGATGGCTCAGTAAAGTAAATCCTTGCCTGGCAAGTGCAGGGTCCTGAGTTCAATCTCTAGTACTGAAAAAAAAAAAAAAAAAAAGAAAACATGTATGAAAGTTAGAGTAGGGTCTGACCTGTGTGGCCCATTTATATCAAAAGTGTAGTGATAAGTAAGAGAAAGAAGACCTCTGACCTTCCTCAGTTTAGAAATGTAAGATATACAGATAATGACACAACAAAGATAGTGGTGCATGGCAAAACTCTGACAAGGAAGTGGGACTGTTCTAGGAGGAAACTGGAGCCCCAGCAAATGGCGCGAGAACAAGGGAGGGTTTTTTGAAGGAAGAACTTCAGATTGGTGACTAACGAAAGAGTATGAGTTACTTTGGCAACGGGCAAGAAAAGGCATGTGTGAGGTTCACATGTGCTGTGGTGAAAGAGAGAGCACAGCGGTCAGAATTTAGATGAGGATGGTTACAGTGTAGTGTGACACCTGGTTGTAAACACCTATGTCCCTAGAGCCACTTCAAGAGTTCATAAGGCTGATTGTTAAATTTGCAGGCATTTTGTGAGTAGTTGAGTTCATGCTGGTAGCTTGGGATCAGTTGTGGTGGAATATTTGTGTTACAAAAACAAGCAAATGCTAAGTGTCATCATAGATGAACTAGGTTATAAAGCTGGAGGTTCTGCAGGACTTGTATGCCATCTTAAGGAATGTCATATAGAGCTTAGAGATGCCCATGTAGCTTAGTGCTGATCCAGGCTTTAGAGTCTTAGTTCTGGGGGTGGGGAAGTGCTTGGTGTCGTAGCAGCCCTTTAAGAGATATCAGGCTTTTGAGGATTCTTCTGAGCAAGTCCTATAGTCAGCATGTCAATAGTCAACATGTCAACTGGGTGGTTGAGGCACATTCTTACCATATTTTGGGAGTAATAGTAGCTGCCAGTAGTTGGAGAAACATTCCCTTTTGGAAGAAGTCAGTTGTGAGCTGGGCTATTAGGGCATAAGGAGAGGTGACTTACTCTTCAGGAGAGATAAAGACAGTCTTAGTTGCTTCCTCATGACTAAGACACAATACCCAACAGCCACAGCTTAAAGGAAGAGAGGTTATTTTGGTTCACAGTTTGTGGAGTCCATAGTTAGCTGGTGATGTGGAAGAGGGGCATGGCAAAGGCATGGCAGCTCATGGCATGGCAGTCTGGAAGCAGAAAGGGATCAAAGGAGTAGGACAGTGTCTTGGTTTGGAGTTTTTGCAAGGGAACAATACAATGCAGGGCATATTTTATAAGATTAATTTATAATCAATCCCCCAAAGAATCATACACAGAATCCAGGAAATCTGTCCACACACCAAAGACCAAAGAATCCAGCTGAGGGCCTGGATCCTAATATCCTGCATGAGTCCAGCTGAAGACTGAGAGCCTGTAACAATGCCTCCTACAAGTTCAATTGGAGACCTAGAGCCCATGACAATGTCTCATGCAGACTTGCTTCATGGATCTGTGCTGGGAAGGCCCAAAGGTCAGTGGTGGAAACTAGGAAGTCTATGCCAGCCAGATGGAAGATCTGTATTAGCAGGTTGAGGGATCTCAACTGGAGCCAGGAAACAATGCTCAAGATAAGAACCAGAGCTCCCTGAAAAGTACCACAGCCATGCTCAGCAATGGAGAGGTCCTGAGTTCCTTTACTAATGAGGAAGGCTGAGTTTCCATTAGAAAAGCCAGTGTGACAAGTTTCTCCATGAGGCTGAGCTGTGCACTATCTTCCCCTCTAGAGCCAGGAAGCAATGCACAAGATGAGGACCAGAGCTCCTCCAAAATGAACCACAGCCATTCTCAGCATCTATGAGGTCCTAAGCTTCTCCAGCAACAAGAACAGTCAAATTCACCAGGAAAGACAATATAACCAAGTCTCCCAGTAGAACAGCCCAAGAGAACCAGCAGCTTCCAAGAGCTGCAACAGCTTCTCCAAACAGCATGCCTAACAGAGTTTCCCAGCTCTTGTCCAGTTCTGCCTCTTTTGCCGCTGGCAACAATCCTCAGATGGGCCTCCCACACCCAGCGCCATGCTAGTTCAATTCAGGGGAGCGTAACAAGTTGACCAAAAGTTAGCAGT